AGATTCCTGGGAGTTCTCACGTTGATGGTTTCAGCAGGTTCCTGGGAGTTCTCACGTTGATGGTTTCAGCAGGTTCCTGGGAGTTCTGTTGTTTGTGCTAATGGAGCTGGGTGCTGACAAGACCTCCAATGTCTTCGAGCGTAACTGGCAACTTCTTAAGAACGCTGCCACAGCGGCTCGTGCTGACAAAAAGTTCTGGCAACAAATCCTGCTCAGCTGCCCTCGTAATCAGGAAGTTGCTGCAGAGACTGCAAGGCACTACATAGCTCACAGCAAAACGTGGCAAATTATCTCAGGTAATAATTATTCTTTGCCTAATAAACTGTCTTATCGTTTTCATATATATCTTGTGAACCTTGTGAACCTTTGGTAATAACTTTGTGAATAGTCACCGTCTATTATCTTATTAGCATAAGATCTTATTCATGCAAGTTGGTAACGAGTGTTATTTTAATTGATAATTGTGACGGGTACACATACGCTTTCCTTAGTATTAACAGAAATAATTTATATGTTTGTTTTTAAAACTGCAAAGGAAGGAATGGCCTTTCCGATTTTTTTTCAGAAATATTCTGCTTTGTGCAGGTCTAATGAATCATAGTGCCTGTTTGTCCACTTTCACTAGAACTCATTATATTCGAATGCTTCATTTACGTTCAGGCCGCGATGTTGACACCATCGCTCTGCTGCTGCCCCACCAACAGCCCTCGACGCTCATCGTTCACCGCTTCGATGGTCTAGCGCTCGTGTCATGGCGCAAGGTGGTCAACAAATTCAGCGGAAATGTGATGCTATGTCTTCCTAATCACCACCCTTGCGACGGCTATATTGCAGCATTGAGCCATTCAAGGTGAATGGTTTCACTGGGATATAGTACGATGCATTTACAACATTTTAAAATTATCATATGTTTGTGTGAAATAATTTCCCCAAGTTTGAATTGAGTGAAATCATTTACAACATTTTAAAATTATCATATGTTTGTGTGAAATAATTTCCCCAAGTTTAAAAAGCGAAACATAAAATCCTAGATATCAGATGGGACTGACGAAATTGGCTTTCTCTGCAGCTGCACGTTGTCCACATTTTTTGGCCGCATCGTGGAATCAAGCAGTATTCAGTCCCTAGCTAAGGTGTCGACGCCCGACGCAGAGTTCACCATCGTCACTGAGCCTCATGTGGACTTGGCACCGCTACAGGACAAGCATCATGAGCTCTGTAAGTAATATGTCATAGAATTTAAGTGATATGTTTATGATGTATTACCACACAAAAAGACATGCATGAAAGGCTGGCTCATTACAAAGTTTACTTATCTGACTGCTTCACACTACTTAAAAAGATGCAACGAGCTGGAATATGACGTGAATTATTTCAATGTCTAGGAAACTTTGTGCGCTATTTAATCGGTACACGAATATTAGTTGATTACTAGAATTTCGAGTAGATTGGAGTCTTGGTAGGATTGTTGAAACTATGTTCACTCGAACGGTTAGTGCTGGAATTGTTGCGAGACATTTTTAATGGAGTGTGAAAATATAATTATAACAACCTCATATCTCTATATAATCTAATGAGATCGACATAAATAAGAATGTTATCCCCGCTTTGTAGCTCACATTTCTTAACCTCTTAAGAGTGATTGTTGAACCTTGTAATGTAATGATCAAGTTAAGTTTACAGACAGAAGCGCAAATCGTATATATGACTCTAAAATCTAAATCATCAAACCTGACATTGTTGGCAGTCAACCTTCAAAAAATGTTCAATTTCTGGCAGGGGTGACTGTTGAACCCACATGTAAAGGGGAAATTGTTGCTCTACCTGTGTCTCCTCGCATCTGCCTCAAGGTGACGCCTGTCACCGAAAACCAGCAAGAGAGTTTGACTCGCACCACACTTGGGCTGGCTCCTGCTGACAACAGGTGGCGCTCTGAATATATCCTATATACAGACATATTTGTGTTTATCTAAGTGTCCGGAGCAATAAATGAACAGTGAGAATAGAATATGTACCAACATCATTGATTTGATGAAATGCATGGGTTAATTCAGGAGTTTGATCAACTCTGCTCAAATCTCGATACTGTGATCGGTCAGATTCTGATTTAATGACGTGAATCCATCAATGCACGCCATACTCTAGGTTGCGGAGGTAGGAGATGCACGACTGTGAGTTGACTGAGGAGCAGTTCTTTCCATTCAGCTTGTTTCTATTTACCACTAATGCCCAAATTCAATTATAATTCTTCATTAATACAAACAATTTACTAAATATTCATTTAAATCAGGTTGCGGAGGCTGGAGGTGCGTGACTGCGAGTTGGCTGAAGCGCAGCTGCTGGAGGTGGTAGCTGTGATACAAAGCAAGGGCCTCAGGACGCTGGTACGGGACAATGAAGTCCATGGAGGACCCAGCCGAGTGCTGACTATTCGGTAAAATTCTTTACATATCTACAATAATCACAGGGAGTCACAACGAACTTTTTATACAATCTTCGTAATTTTCATAAGCCTTGAATTTTGTTATGACTCCTGAATTTCCTCTTTGGGGAATTTGTGTCCACGTCAAATGGTTGAGCAAGCCCTCACGGTTTTCCTGTTTTCAGGATTTTCACTTAATAATCTATTTTCATGGTTTTTACTGAATACTATATAGTAAAATTAGCTTTCACTATCTTTTGCTACTATCTTCCCAGCTTGTGGCTGAAACGTTCATTCTCATAATCGCTGACCATTGATGTTCTTTTTGGTCCGCACTAATCTCATACGTCGTTCATTTACAGTAGTTATGGCTTTAAATAATTTTGCCGTAAATTGACCATATATAAAAAAACTACAATATTTCACCATATATATTTCATAAGACCATATTTCATGCCAATGGCATGAAAAACCGCAATAAATTAAACTACTAATTTAATTAGTTTTACTAATTACATGAAGTCGTTTCAAACTTGTTGAAATTAGGAATCCATTCAATTTGAGTTTGCATGTGTTGCAACATATTATTGCAATTGCTGACAAGCATGCACATTTCCTTTCGTCCGTGCCATTTGTTGGTACGAGATATAATCAGCCATGTGCACTCATATGTTAGTGAATTTGAAAGCGGTGTTATCCCTTTGTTTACTTATGGTGACCCCAAATACCAGATGTATCTGTTAATTTATATATAAACAGAGGGTTGCTGTGTCAAAAGTCCTGCAGGCTCAAGATTCCTTAAGGAATTCGTCACATTAAATCGTCTTAACATCAGCCGGTACTTGTTTCAATCCTATTCTTTTCGGTCAGATGAATGTCAATTCATTTATCCAAGCAGTTTGTTTTTACATATTTCACTGAATGCTACATGGAGCATAAATTTTCTCCACCACGTCAGAGAGAAGAATTTCGTGCTGGTGCTCACCGACAAACCGCCTGTGTCACCGAAGGTCGAATCCAACCGGTTGGTATTATCAAATTTTGGAACACTGGAAATTCATAACTTCATATGAAAACGAAGTCGTGACTGATTTGGCTCTATATTTGAGAATCATCCAAATATTTCATTGCTTAAAATAAGGGTCCTAGTCTCTAGCATAAATTGTTGCATGGAAAACAAACCCTTTATGACCTACGCGACTACGAGACATGTTTTTTAAGTCAGTACCGTTTTGGAATAAAAAATGACGTGCAAAGATATCGCAATAATTTTATTTATACATGAAAGCCTGTACCCTAATCTACTTTTCTACAGAATTTCCGTGAATATTGAGGCACTTGTCATAACGTGGTACCAGGTTTTGAATACGCTCCTGATAAAATTCTACCGCCTGACTTGTTAACCACTGCATCACTCACATCACATCGATCGCCATCATTTTTATCCTCATCTGCACCAAACTTGCCATCAACCTCATATAAGCACTAGAGACCCTAGACCCACCGGACCCAACTGAAAAAATTTACCCAAGTTTACCAATTATATTTCAAACTACCTTTGGAAAATTTGACCCTACACTAATTTGCCACAGACATTGCCACATGATTTCATGCCGACATTGAACACATCTAAACCATATTAGACCACTTGAGCAACATCATACTCTCGTTCAGACATACAATTGAGGCAATTTTACCCGAGTGCAAACAGTCGACTCCGTATCCATCACTATTATAAAATTGCAGCGCAGTTAAAAAAAATTCAACAGAAAGCACCAGGCCCTTAAGTAGCTCCTGAACAAACACCAATTTGTGAGGTGGGATTCAATTCTAGGCGAAAAATATACCATAGGTATATAGGTGCATTGGTAGACATGGATGTTACAAAATATTCAAGCCCAAATTATACGAAAACGTCACCATTCAGAAATCGCATTAAACAAGACAACACTATTTTAGGAAACATAGGTCAACAAATACTGCACCAGCCATATTCTACAAAACACTAGCCATACACTTCCCCAAAGACACACCACTGATTTACTGCTTCTCTACGTGAACACAGCATTCGACAATGTTTAGTCCACCGGACTACAATATAAAATCATCAAACTCAAAATACACTCGACCTTAACAAAACCTCTAGGCTAATTCTCAGACAGAACGGCATCCATCAGAATAGGCGCTCCTTTTTTATTTTTATTCGCTGCTATTAGTTACTACAAGGTCAATAGGGATGTTGATAAATGAGGAGAAATTGAATATCGCAATCCTAGAACAGATGTCATGAGCTATAATCTTATGGAAACATATAATTACCCATTTGCTGATATTGCAGTCTCGTTGCATCGAAGGACTTTGCCGTCGGTGGAGAGAACCTCTGTCCGCTGGCCTCGTCGTGCGGGGACCTGGACGCCGTGTACAGGAGTCTGTACGCCCTGAACGTTGTGCTGCCGCACGCGCTGCGCTTTGTGATGGAGAAAGTGTGCGCGGACAAGCCTCCACAAGACGCTTGCATGGAGTATCTGGCGCAAAAAGCCCAGATGTCATTGAAGGACCTACGCGAATATGTGAATTCTGAGAACATTGAAAGAACCACGTGGGTCCATTTTGAAAAACATGAATGTGATGAGATTGATTTGCGTCCATTTGATCCATTAATTCCGATGAGTCTGGTTACTGACTTTATGGAAATTCGCCAAATGACCATCATGGATGAACCGGATAAAGAAAGAAACTACAGAGAAGTGCAAGATCTCTTAAAAGAAGGCGAGGTGTGCAGGGAGGAGATATTAACAAACCAGTATAGTGATCCTTCTAAACTCGTCAGCGTCACACAAAAGATGACTCAGATTATATTCAAATTGATCAGTGAGGCTTCAAAGCTGCATGGAGTGCCAGATGCAGAATCAGAGCAAGTGACGAAAACTTGCCAATCACTGTTTGACAAATACGACTCTGCCGTCCGTGTTGATGCTAATGCTTTTGTGGCATATCATGTGCAGAAAGAAAACAGGGAGAGAAGAGCCAGTCTTGCCTCTGGAAAGGAATTTGATGATCGGAAATTCTTCAAAAAAGAGCGTGGATCACATAGGATTAACTCTCTTGGATCAATAAAATGCCAAGTGCTCGTCATAGAAGAGGTCTTAGGATCTGACGAAATTAACTTTATTCGCCGCAGGGCATGGGATAACACATACAGTTCGAGTCATGGCGTGTTTATCTACTTCAGATGTCTTGACACTCAAACATACAGTTTTTCCGACTTACTCAAGCAAAACTTTCCAAGGGCTTGCTGTGAAATAGGAGAGAAAAAAGTTGGAAACGCCTTGACAAAATTAAACCCCTTAATACTTGTAGATGGGTATGACGAAGCCAACGGAATGTCCATCGTGCTCGTAGAAGAAATTTTCTACAAATTATATAAATTCGAATCCAAGATCGTTCTCACTACTCGGTCATGCGATACCTCCCTAATCAGGAAAATTGTGATGAATGAAGGTAAAAATGCTACTGTTGGAGGAGCAAAGTTGCCTCCAATGAACACTTGGATGAACAGCTGGCGGTCTTGCTTCGGTGTCTGAAAGTTCTCGAACGTTCAAATCTGTTCAGGAGAATTGATCTTCTCTCTGTTTTCTTCAGCAGAAGGTTTCTTCTGGCTACTTGCCCGAAAATGACCAAATTCTCCATTGCAAGAGGCCAGAAGCACGATAACTAGCACCTGTTAGGAAAGAATTAATAGTATGGCCCTATGTACAAACACCCTTCTAATAGATTACCACGGCAAAAACAAATTGTTTTACCTAGAGCACTTGTTCCATGATGTGCCCAATGATGACCACCAAAATATCTTCCCTGAAAGCTGAATCAGCTTTCCCTATCTTCAAACGCCAACCTCTCGTGACGGCGTACATGAACATGGAATTTAAAAGCTGAGAAGTTGAAAATTATCGTTGTCAGTTGTCTCATCTGCCTTATTATCATTTCTACCTACTAACCTGCGTGCCATGGTGTTCGACTAATCCTATAGAATTTAAATTTGTTATTTGATAAACCAGATTATACTGCATTAATTTTGCTATGATTTTTATAACATGAGTGCTTGTGTGCACATGAACTTTAACGTTATGTGGAATTCTCAGCAACTCCGCAACTGCTCCCTTGCTAGATTGTAGAAGTAATGTTACAATTATCTTCGTACAACTGAAGTAATTATGAACATGTTTCACATGTGGGTTCATTAATTATTTATTGAGACCCACTACCTTCCCGCCCGACTGGAAACACAGAATGTGTTCTTATTTGAAATAATATGCGTTTAAAAAATACTTTTTACAGATAACACGTCTAAAGAGGCCAGTGTCTCTGAAGTTACTAATGCTCAATGAATAATTTTTTTATTTTTAAATATTTAAAACAATTATTTGTTCAATTTTCTTAATCTTAGAATAAAGTTTTTAATTTTTCAAATTAGTTATTCTGCCAATTGATTCATGCATTGTCTCCAACTTTACGCAAGTGTGCAAAATTTCACATCGATTGAACAGGTAGAAGTGTGTTAAATATCGATTATAAGATTTGTAGCAGACAAACAAACAATAAGAAGTGAAGTTAAAGAGAAGTGTTGTGTTGTAAAAAGTAAGGTGAGCTTGCGATATGAAATTGTTACCTGTGATATGTTGCTATATTAGATCTGCTATGCAGCTCTCTGAAAATGATCAGATTTTAATTGTTGACGGCTGAGCGCACTTTGTTTGTTATGGCAAACGGGCTTAGGAATAGATTCAGACCCAACCCTGCCACCGTGGATGTTCTTGGGTTCAGAAAGGAGGAGAAATAAAGAAAAATTGACAGCGGGATTTCTGTAAATCTATTGCTTCCATTTCTCTTCAACCATTCAATTCAACGATTTATATCCGGATAGACTGGTGTAAAGAAATAAGATGCAACGTTCAACCTAGTACTTGCAATCATTTATCCCCTTTCTAGCTGTTGATAGCGTAATGATTTTCTAGTAGAGGCTTACTTCCTGCCTAGGCAAGATTCCCAACTATTCAAGGAACATGCCATGAATACTAGAATTTATTTTGTTGATGTATCGCTTGTTTGAATTGGTTTGAATTCTCAGTAGAGGCGTAAGAAACTTTCAGTATGCTGCATAATTTTTGTACGTTTAAGTTGCAGTTGTCTTTGCACTTTGGGAGTTCAACAGCCCAATGCGCATGGTGCAAGCGACATTTAATGGAGCGTAATTAATGTAAATTTAATCGAGAACAGTCCAGAAGTCTCGATGACTTCAGCCTCTGACCTTCTTATTTTGATGAACTGTTATACGTTCGGGTCCCGATAACTAGTGTAGATATTTCATCATATAATAATAATAATAATCGCAGGTGATCATATTTTATCGTTGAAATGAGTCGATATTTTTGTATGATTGACAGCCGATGTTCCATTTACGTTGTCGGAAACGCAACGGAACTTTTACTTGTGAATTAAATGGATTTCAGCCTTTGTTAGAAATATTTTTATTCGTTAAAGCCTGTCTTCATTCCCCTTTCTCAACTGAAAATGACACGCAAGAGCTTGACAACCGTTCGCATGTAATTGCCTTAATTAGATGCGAAGCTTTATTGATGAAATGGTGCTCTCCAGCATCATTTACTGAATCGAATTAAGTTGAATTCGAAAAAAGTTGGATTACAAATTTTGGGCTTATTATTTGAAGAGTATGATAATTAGCTTTTTATCAATTTGAATGTAAATTCGTTGAAGGTTGATCAAAAAGCATATCTTGAAAGTCTCAATATAATCGTAGAGGCCTAAAGTGATATTTTGCTGAATAATTTTTTCATTCAAATTAATGTTTTGTAAAAAAATTCGTGTGATTAAGAAATATACAAGCATTTCTTCTAGCATTGAGAAGCATTTCTTCCAGCAATGCTTCTGCCAAGTATGGCACATGTATTGTAAGCTGACTTACAAGTAAATTGACTTACGGTAAAATCTCTGTTGATCTTCAATTTCTTAACAATCAATTTCGATACCAAGAATAAATAAAGTGTTTAAGCGTTAAACAAATAAAAGTAGAGTTACGTACTGCTTTTCCTCAGTTCATTCATGCAAAAGTTTTAGTACATCCAAAGCTCTCATTTTATTAATTTTTCGAAGCTTTGTTTTCAATTGCTTAAATAATCCAGTTATTGGCTGAATCGTGAATAACCGCCATGAATATGAAACGAATCAAAGCTAATCCCGGGAAATTTATGCGTCCAATTACTTGTGACTTACGGCACTCAACCTCTGTAGTGTGCACGATGGATTGCATGCTTACGGCACTCAACCTCTGTAGTGCGCACGATGGATTGCATGCTTACGGCACTCAACCTCTGTAGTGCGCACGATGGATTGCATGCTCATGTTAAGATCATGTAGTGGCGCAGTTTAATTAAGGGTTGGGGGGCACTTACAACCGGAATAAGGCGGGATAATTTATTTTATTTGCCTTTTTTGGTCCAATTTTTAAGAGTAGTAATTTTTGCAACCCGGAGTGTTATTTTTTACGACACATTAAATTTTACTTTAAAGCGCCGTCATGAATTTCAAATTTTACTTTAACATTAATAATAAGAAAATCATTTTTATTATTTTGCTTACTATGTGTGAGCACAAATTTTTCCGTGTGCACAATAGAATGGAATAATTTTCGTAGAATAATTAATAGAATTAATAAAATTCTTAGAATTTCAATAAAATAATTAGCATTTTATGACGGGTCATTATTGATTTACAATTTGTATTACTAAGCGGTACACCAGAGTTTGAGTCAAAAAGTTCATGACGCTTCAATTGAGGAGAGAGCGCACCCGCGGGTTCAGTATGTCAGGCCAGGTGCTGAGCTCACTTCTGATGGTGAAGACGAGCAGACGAGCGGCGTGTTGCCGAGATTTAAATGCGTTCTATAGCACAGCTTGTGTGCAGCCCACTTCAACGCTACCCTTCAATAATTTTGAAATAACTGTGACGAGAATATAAAAAATACATCTCCCGCCAAACGTATCAATCTCTAAAATATCAGCACGTAAAACAATAGCACTATAAATTAACCAAAAATCCACAGGTTCTACAACCTTTCTTCTTGCATTAAACAAAACTTATACCCCGCTTTTGATTGATCATTCCTCATATACGCCTCATATTCCTCGACACACCCTGTTTAAAATCTCCACATAAAACTACAGAAAGTCCAAAGAAAGATATTTAGATAACAATGACACACTGGCCCGACTTCTTATCTTCACAAACTTTTCACAAATAATGTAAAATTCCCGCCATAAACACTGTCCTCATTAAAAATTCTCTCACGGTCCATCATCAAAATATAAAACCGACATCTTTTCAATCAACTCACACTCCTTTCAAACGTCATAGCAATGAAGCCCTGGCTATTCAAAAGTTCAATATTACGAGTAATTGGTCACCACCTCCACCCCTGTACACCTAACCTACCCGAAACACCATAAACAACAAAGAACAGATCGTCTGCACTTGGTCAATCAACGCGTTCTAGTGTAGTGCCATAATAACGATTAATGACTGACCGAACTCATGGAGAGCAGCTCACGGTACAGACAAGACTGGTGATCTATTATAAACTAGTGATCTGACTTGCCAGACGTTCCTCCTGAATCTCGAGCGCCCACTCGCCGCCTTCGTCATCATCATCTTCACCATTATCTCTCCACAATCGTTTCACCCCCTTTTACATCCGCGTATGAAAAAATCAAAGAACGTTAAAAAATGAAAATAAGGGATAAAGAAAATTTTGTTAATAATGAACCACCACCCTTTCATCGCTTATCCGCGTAAACTTTCCAAAGCCCTTATGGGTTTCCTTCCAACTCCCAATCCCAACCCATCCCTAAATGAAACAACAAATCCAGTAATGCCCTCTGCGCCTATTTTTATTTCCTACCGTCTTTCCATTTATCCTTCCTCTTTCTGGCCACTCTATGTCACCTCCTGTTTTTTTCACTCGGCTTTCAAGTGGCACCGCAACAACAAAGACGTAATATAAATGAGAAACACCTGAAAATTTAATCATACCTACTAGTCTCGGCATAAAGTCCGAAGCCCACTGCTTTGAAACAGCAGAACCTAGATTTATTAGTAGAAATTAGTAGCATTGAAAATGTCCATTGATAAATCATTAAAAGAAGATTATTGTTATTGTTCCAAAGTAAAAGAATATTAATAAAGACCATGATTCCAAAGTAAACGTCAACCCCGAGCACAACCGTACCTAAGCTCGCTCCAAGTTTAAGCCCGAAGCATTCATTGACCAAAGACATCGGACTTAATAACAAATAAAGAAAAAGCCTCGTCCTTTGCTTGCATTCTGCTTCTAAGCCATTTAATTGGCCATACGCTTCAAAATTAGCACGCATAGTCAATGTTTAAACTTGCTTAGGCTGACAGAAGTGTCTGTGTGTAGTTCGTGGATACGAGTCCTCAAGTATTTACCAGCAGACCTCGTTACCTTTGACTCCACTGGGACGTTTAGTCAACAGTTTACATTCCTCGAGGACAAGGACTTCGTGGGTGGAAGCATCACGTCTATAAAAGGGCTGGACACTTCATCAAGTCCCCCGGTAGCTTGCACCACTGCAGCGATGTCGCACTCATTGCAGGAGTACGTTGGCCTGACGGTCCAAGTTCTTAGCCGTGTACCCGTACTACTGTATAGACTTTGTTATATACCACCCTGTTTTAAGATAAGTCTCATATAGAATGTGTCTATACTTATCCCTCCAAATAGTTTAAGAATCTCTATAGTGAGTATATTTTGTATAAGGTAAGCTTATACAATTTATACTCCCGGGTATCTCCATGTTATTTACAAAGAAATTGGGCTGGGGTGTCTCGTAATTTGGGCAGTTTAATAATTTCTTCTATTTCTCAGGGAGAGGTTCGAGGTATTTCTCCCCCCCCCCCCTCATCCCCAACAGAAGCACTTAATCGAAGTAAAGAACTTGATTTCGATATTTCAGTATTTGCCCCATAATTACCACTATTACGCAATAATTATCAGCATAAGGCCATGGTTTATATTAGGCCTAAGTTAATTAAACACAATACCTATAAGAATCAGTATTCGGCCCATAATTCTCAAGGAGCTGGAAACGCTCGGTTAATGACGTTAACTATTTAGGCTGGCTTGTATTTTCATTAGTGAGGCTGACCAGTATTTTAACTAGTGAGGCTGGCCAGTATTTTCACTAGTGTGGCTGGCCAGTATTTTCACTAGTGAGGCTGGCCAGTTTTTTCGCGGAATAAAATCCAAACTA